TCCCGAATAAAACTTTTTTATTTCCTAGTTATTCTTCCTCTCATAGTTACTTTCTTATTATATCCGGAATTGATACCGCTTGTGGAAGTGTTCCACAAACGTAACTACATCTATACAGCGGAGAAGCAGCAGAAGTAAGAATGAAATCGATCAGAATAGATTATATCGCGCTCGATAAGCCGATGATCCCGGGTTGATCGGCCTTCCCGAATAATCTGCGCCCGCATGTCTCGACCGAACGCAACGGGTGGGACTGACGCGCTGTATGCTGTGTATAACGTGGTGCAGTCACCTCACGGATATCCGGTACCGATAGGACGCATACACGCGTACGTCTCGGTTTCTCGTAGCGCCTGCTCGTTGTTTTCGCTGGATAGCGCGTCATATCCTTTTTCACCTTCCCATCTCCTTAGACTCTCCGTGACGCCGCGTCACATAATTCTTCCTGCACTTTTCTACGTGTGCCGCGCAATACTTCTGTAAATAAATATTCGCGAGAGTGCGTTCTGCCAAATCATCACACGTGATCTTGTACACTGATATCAAAAAACCTGTTTTTTTATTCTAACAGAAAAGAGTCAAGTAAATGTCGTAGCTTCAGCGATATCCGACTCAAAGCACGATTCGATCATATTGAACCTCGAGATCCCAAGAGAAAATCGTCGCGACTGCGGTAACAAGGTCGGAAATATGCACCGCCGCCAATAGGGACGTGCCGAAACGAACGGCTGTCTAACATCCGAGGGTGCAGAGAGAACTTTAACGATCGGCATATGCAACTGCGTCCGGTGTAAGCGCGGAGAGTATCGGCTTTCAATCACCTGCAATGCCTACGAGCGCAACCGCCGGCTGAGAGCGGCCAGCTCTCTTTCGTTCCGAATTCGTTGCGCTATTTCGCCTTTTGCACCGTGAGTTCGCCATGGAAGAATCAAGGCATTACAGCGGAAAACGCCCAGAGTCGACGAAATCTGTCTTATGCCCGTTTCTATCAACATTGACTAAGCCTCATCCCGAGTATAAACTCTATTCAGACATTAGACTTAAGCTTAGCTTGAGATTTATACGACGTTGATAGAAACAGCCATTAGACACACTCAAAATAAGATTTTGTTGATCCAAATAGAAGCTTAAAAGTCACAGTTAAAATTGATCGTGTCGTACGTAGAATTTACAGCAGCAGTCTCCA